AATTTATAGTTTGTGTTAAACTAAAAAATGGCTTCAGAAGGATTCCTTAAAGCGTCAACAAACAATTTACCATGTGTACATATTTTTATGGTTACAGAATTTTTAAAAAACGACGAACGCTTTAAGTCAGCCGAATTTAAGGGTGTCAAAGCAGCAGCGTAAGTAAAAGTCCGTAAATTCATTATTAGTTACTCTCTCCTTAATATACTAATCTGTCTGGATTGGTTTAAATTAGGTAAATAATATATAGAATTTCACTTATTTAACTTAACCTAATTTATACACAGGGCTGCTTTAAAAGTAAAATGAACCCTTAAATTTGTATTTTGTGCATCACGACAATAATATGGTGATATCGAATATGTGGAATTGAAACGCCAGGGTTCTTTTTGCACTGTACAAGGAGAATTTGCTCAGAACACAAAGTACGATCGAAGGCATATTCTGTCTGCCTCATCATTACCTTTTTGTTCGTAATTTCACTCAAATGATCCTCGCAACAAAAAAAGATTGATTTTGATTTAGGAACATCACGTCTAGCTGCTTTGAACCATTAAACTTTACGTGCATAATCATGAAGAACGGTTAGAAAGAGTTTGTTTGGAGCACTTATTGAGGTATTCTTGCATCCTGGCACAAAACACCACTTATTTTGTGATCCATACATGTCACTATTTTCCATTATACAAGATAATAATAATAATCAATAAAATAATGCTATTATATAATAAAATAACATCGATTTCCATATTTTTCTTTTACCGTGTTAAGAGCATGACTTTGCAAAAAAGCGCGCTACTTTTAATTGAGAAACCGCACAGGCAGTTTCTTCGCAAAAATTGTCATAAAATTTCCATGTTTTTAAAACAACAATAAAATTTTCAAATTTTAAGGACAGTGTGGAGCTTCACATGGTCAAATAAGAATTTTAGAATCGTTTTTGAAAAAAAATACTCAATAGCAATGAACCTTGCAGAATGTTTTCCAAGCGCGCTAAAAGCATGACTTAGATAAGCTACTTTCAAATAAATCACTGGAAAGATGACACAAGCTAACAAATAGTTCGCACAATCAGAGCATGATTTTGCCTTAAAACTTGACCGACTCGGAGTGACGTCCGAATTAATAAGTTGATTTTTAATGAAAATCTAGCATGTTCTATTATTGTAGCAACTATTGGCAACGTCGCCAACAGAATCTACCTATAATAAGATAAGACTGCTCACAAAGGCGTCAACTTTGGGAATATTCCGTTCTTTCCAATTTTTTAATGGTTTTCCTCATCGCTGGGAGCATGACCAATATTTAAAATCTGCAAAGTAGCCTCGATAGGTACCGTACTAGGTAGCTCTTGAGATGTTCTAGCGAAAACGTTCTAAGGATTTTTTTGAAATATTCAACCGCTTTTGTGCTATCATAAAATATACTAGAATTTACCAACTTTCGGGTTTATGCTGCAAGGATAGGCAATTCGTGCAGTGTTTGGAGGCTGATTTCGACTAAAATATAACTTTGAGTAGCATCCTACATCCAAATAATCTAGCAAATGTCCAGAAATAGGTAATAAAACGTTTTGCTTGCTGGGCTGAGAGCATGACTAAGATCGAAAACTTGCAACCACCGTCAGGTGGACGCGGTGATCGATAGTTCGGGGGATGCTCTATCGAAAATGTCATCGGAATTTTTTTGAACTATTTATCGGTTCCGACATAAAAGTAAAAGTTTTCTAGAAATGGCAAACTTTGAGTTTCTCTTTTGAAGATTAGAAATTTCGATGACAAACTAAGAAGCCAAATTTTAGTAACATCGAACATTCAAAAAATCTGGCAAATAATCATAAATTTCCGATCAAATGTTTATTTAGCTAAGCTGGGAGCATGACCAAGGTTAAAAACACGCAAACTGGCTCCGACAGGCGCGATTCTCAATAGTTCTTGAGATACTTTTACGTGAAAATGTTCTTCATTTAACCAAAATTTGCCTGTAGTTCTTTACAGGTTAGAAATTTAGTCTCGATCCTAACAAGAAGAATCCAATCTACATTATGCTTTTCGGATATTTTTAAAGATTTCCACCACATATCGATTTTGGCAACATTGACACCAAAGACCCGCCCATTTTTACAAACTCATTAACCTCAACTCTTCTTTAATGTTCTAGTGAGTATCCTGGGCCTACTAAGTGGACTGACGCAACATTGGCCTTCGCCAATCTTTTCCCAGCTTTCAACCAATGAAAACCCGCTGGGGCGTGCCCTTACAGCCGCTGAGCAAAACTGGATGGTCTCCCTACCCTACTTAGGAGGTCTGCTAGGGCCTCCTATGTCTGGACTCATCATGGAAAAATGGGGACGAAAATCTGCGCTGTTTGGGGCCTACGTAACGGGGGTTGTCTGCAGCCTGGCTGCCGCTTTGGGGACCCAAACCTGGCACCTTTACCTATCCAGAGCGACTGCTGGAATGAGCGCCTATTCCGGAATAATTGTTGCTGCTGTCTATCTAGGAGAGATTGCCGATGAGAGGTATAGAGGAGTTGTGTACTCCTCCATTCCCCTATCTGTGAGCGCTGGGATGCTGATGTGTTTCTGGATAGGATTGTACGCGTCCATTGCGCAGCTGCACTTTACAATCCTGGCAGTGGCTTTGCTGGGTTTAATGCTGACTGGGTTTCTTCCAGAGTCTCCCTACTATTTGCTGCAGCGGCTCCAGTCTGGAAATGCTGGAAAGTCGTTAAGCTTGCTGCGCAATAGCGACGATATTCTAGGCGAGTTGACGCTGATTCAGGCCCATGTTGCCAAAACTGGAAACCTGCAGTCCAAAGCTGTGCGGAAGTCTTTGGGAATTGTGCCAGGGTTGGTGGTTTTGGCGCAGTTTTCTGGCAGCGTTGCCATAAGAGGAAACATCCGGTCGCTTTTCCTGAAAACCGGGTGGTCGATTAGTGACAACGCCGCAGGCGTTGTCATTGGAATTATCCAGATATGTTCCAGTGTTTTCACCATGGGGGTTGACTGGATGGGGCGCAAGAACATGCTGACGTTCGCCTCCTTCGGTCTGGCTTTTCTCCTGGGAATCTTGGGAATTTACTTCCAATTCCTGGATGAATCTCTGGAGAACTATGCAGAAATCACTTGGCTTCCCCTGCTGGTCTTTATGGGATATTTCCTGTTGTTCTACAGCAGCCTTAGCAGCCTGCCCTTATTGTATATCACGGAAATTATGCCTTTGAACATCAAAAGCCTAACTGGAGGATTTTTGATGGCTCTCCAGAGCCTTTTGAGTTTCCTGCTGGTATTCTTCTACGACCACATGGTGAAAGGCTTGGGAACCAGCGGTTATTTCTACGTGTCCTCCATAGCTATGTTAGGGCTGGCTTTGTACGTGCAGATAATGCTGTTTGAGACCAAAGGGAGAAGTTTGGATGAGATCTTTATCCAAATGAACAAGTCCAAGAGGTCCAAGGGGGCGTTTTCCAAAAATGCCCCGGAAAATTGTGAAAACCTGTGAATGGTTCCTTACAGAAGAGTCTCACCTGAACACGCAATAAAATAGTGAAAAAAATGTACTTTGGATAATAAAAGACTTTAGAAGGTCAACAATGAGCTTCGTTCTTTCTTCCGCGCTTCCAGGTAGTTATTGCCTGACGAACCTGTCGGCCTAAGAGCGAATTTTTGGTTGGCTTTTAAATTATGCTCTTCAAAAYTTGAAATGTGTAACAATGTCKAACGAGCTTAAAGTTTACCATACTGGTGGACCCTTTAGGTAAATTCAATCTTGCSTGACCAAACTTGCCGAAATAGCTACTTYCTTCCAGACTAAGAGCATGAAAACTACCACATTWAGAKTCCAGATCCAGTCARTACAGTCCAGTTRAAGTCYTCTAGGGATATTTGKGAATTTTGGCCACGTCGTCAACGGTGAAACATAAAATTATTTTTATCCGGAACCCGCACATGACAAATTCACAAATTTTCAGTTATTTTCAGTCCCGGAAGGTTATTCCACCACGCTGAGAGCATGACTAAAATTGAAAATCTGCAAATGCCTTCAATCGCTGCGGTTCTGAATAGATCATCAGATGTTCTATCGAAAAGGTTTGATTGACTTTTTGACAATCTTTATCGTTTCAGAAAGACAAACTAAAATTTACTTTTATTTTTTATTATTATTATAATTAGTATTTTTTGTTTTATCTATTTAGAGATTTGTTGCAACCTTCAAAAAAGAGTGTCATCGAAAACTGAATAAAACGTCTTAAAATTATTCAGATACCCAATATTTAAACGTTTTTTCACCACGCTGAGAGCATGACAATGGTTAAAAACGCGCCATCTCGTACCGAACGGATTCTCAGTCTCGTCTCAGATAGTCCTTCAGACGTTCTATTGAAAAACTTATTTTGAATTAAAATAGAATGAAAACTGGCAAAGTGGCTTCGAAAACCGCGGTTTTCGACAGTACTTCAGTTGCTTATCGAAAAAGTAGTAATTCTTTCTTGGATATTCTCTACCATTGGCCAGCCAAAGGAAAAATGTACAACAATTGATCAAATACCAGGTTCACTTCCATTTATCATCGCTTCTGTTAGAGCAACTGGACTGTCGGGAGTCTGGGAGGCTCTATTTACAGATTCAGTACTTGCTACAACCCTAATGAGAAAAGTTTGACTAAAAACTGCATTAAAAGCATATTAACTATTGCAATTTTTTCCCCATACTGAGAGCATGACCAATATTAAAAATCAGCAGTCGGGGACCAATAACGGTGTCATCGCGTTGCTCTGTAGAAGGTCTATTGAAAAAGTTCTATTAATTTTTCCGAAAAAGTCCACGGTTTGCAAAATATAGAGAAAAATGCACGTTAAGTTTAGAAAAGTTTTAGAAAGAGTTTAAGAAATGTCGGGTTTTTCTCTTTAGAGGCTTAAAACCTGCTGTTATTATCCAAAAATGTCGCCAGGAAAACAAAATAAAAAAGTTCTCTTTATCAAGCTACTGTTAAATAGATGACACTAGTTGATAATTTGTTGACACACTCAGAGCATGGCTTTGCCTTAAAACCCACACATTAGCCGAGCCTCAAAGAGTTTTAATCACGCTGGGAACATGACTAAATAGCTCATTAGATGTTGCATTGGAAATGTTTGATTGTTTTTTTAATAAATTTTTACCATTACCGATACAAACTGAAATGTACTGGAATATATTATTATTATTAGTATTTTTCGTTTTATCTATTTAGATATTTCAAGCAACTTTCAAAAGAAGAGTTCCATCAAAAGCTGAATAAAACGTCTTAAAATTATTCCGATATTTCCAATATTTGAACGTTTTTTTCACCACTCTGGGAGCATGACAATGGTTAAAA